CCCTGCCGATCGCTAGCAAGTAAATGGCTAGAGACTGCGGCTCCCTCTCTCGATACCTCCGGCCTTGCACGCAGACAGCACTCCGTCAACCCACAGGTTGCACAAAATGACGCTGACATTGAGATGGGTCTCGACTGCGGGGATGAACTCCACCCGAATGCCTCCTGTTCGTGTTTTTATGACCAGCAGCGCAGCTTTCTGATCACTTCGCCAGTTTCAGACCAATGGGCCCACCCTATGAGAAGAATTCCAAGATCTTTTACTGATGTCGAGCCCTTGGAGGAGGATCTCAACAACTCCGATAGCTCTAACCGTCAAAGTGCCTCAACTCAAAATTCAGGCGCCCTACCAGCTCGAGCCAGAATCCGACGCGTTCTTCTAACGCTCGGAGATAGGCTTCAGACCACCCTCAACTCCTTCGGTCTCTGCAGACTGTACCCCCGCCGTCCCTCATTTGAGCCGGACAAATATATTGCATCCTCACTACTTGCTAAAACGTGCCCTACTCCCGCTGGAGGAACAGATTCTCCACCGCAGGTCCTCCCTCCCCCTTACCCGTTTTCTAATATGACTGTCTATCGGCTCATGTCATGGATGAACTCTGGTAGCAGCCGGGTATCGGAAACGAAGGTCGCCGCCCTTGTCAATGACGTCATGCTGGCAGAGGACTATGACAGCGAGCACCTTCAGGGGTTCTCCGTGAGGCAGAGCTTACGAGAACTCGATAAGGATAAGGGAGGGAGGAGAATCACCTTTCCTGATGACTGGGTCGAGACTGCCGTCACCATCAATATTCCAACCAGGGAAAGAGAGGACGGCCCTAGGCCTTACACAGTTCCTGGATTTCACTACCGACCTCTCATCGAAGTTGTACGCGCAGCATTTGCAGACGCTCAAGCTGGAGCTTTTCATCTTTTGCCATTTAAACATTTGTGGAAGGACCCTTTAGATGGCCACGAAGAACGGATATATGACGAGCTGTATACTTCAGACGCCTGGTTGGAGGCCCAGGACGACCTCCACAAGCTGCCAAAGGAGCCTGGGTGCTCTTTGGAGCGGGTCATCGCAGGTCTAATGTTTTTTTCTGACGCTACTCACCTTGCAAACTTTGGTACTGCGAAGGCTTGGCCACTTTACGCCTACTTTGGAAATCTAACAAAGTATATACGTGCGTCGCCAACATCAGGGTCATGCCACCTCGTAGGATTCTTACCGTCGGTGAGCCATTCTAGATTACGAATTTATCGACTACTGCTGACTGTTACCACACTCATCAGCTTCCTGATAGCATTAAAGACATTCTAAGCAGCCTGCCTCGAGTATCGAAGACAGGAATGGCCTCTATTCACACCTACTGTCGCAGGGAGTTGTTCCATGCCTGCTGGGAAATTTTACTGGACGAAGACTTTATTTATGCGTGCAGACATGGTATCGTTTTGAAATGCGCTGACGGAGTAATGCGGCGAGTATACCCGCGAATCTTCACATATTCCGCGGACTACCCTGAGAAGTACATCTTTCACCATCTTTGTTCAAAATGCAGCTCATGAATCTTCAGGGTTCTGATCGCTTCTATCAAGGACATGGGCTTCTGCCCATGCCCTCGCTGCCTGGTGCCAAAAAGCTTGTTCAGCTGCCTTGGCCTGGTGAAGGATATGAAAAGCCGGATTACCGACCTTCGACTGTACGCTATGTCCAAGGTTGTCAAAGCTCGTGAGGCTATCTATAGAATGGGAAGTACCGTAGACGGTGCAAGGGTAGAGGACATCCTTGGAGAAGGTTCCTGGGTGCCAGTTCTGGTTCGTACCATCGGTTCCGTCCTGGTCACGATTAGCTCAAATCGGCGTTCGCAGAACCAATTTGTCAAGAAGCTTGGACCGCTTGGTCTCGATCCATTTCGTATGCTGGTCGTCGACATCATGCATGAGTGTGAGCTGGGCACTTGGAAGGCTCTATTTACCCACCTGATAAGGCTTCTCTACGCCCTTCCTGGGGGCACTCAGTTAGTAGCTACCCTAGACGGCAGGTGCGTGGAGTTGGTATGGAGTGCTGCTGCCCACTAATGGCCGTCAACCTCTGGATCTTACCGTAGATTTCGCCAGGTCCCGACCTTCGGCAATGGTATAATTCGCAAATTCGCCAACAACACCTCTGAGATGAAAAAGCTGGCAGCTCGTGACTTCGAGGATATTTTACAGGTGAGTTTGTTTTATCTAGTTTTCCACAAGGCTGAGGCATTCGCCAGTGCGCCATTCCGGTTTTTGAAGGGCTGTTCCCCTCAGAACATGACGCGGCAGTGCTGCTCTCTGCTATATCGATTTGCACAGTGGCACGCACTCGCTAAGCTTAGGATCCACTCCGATTCTACCTTGCGTTTTCTTGACGAAACGTTCAAGCAACTCTCCCGGAGGTTGCGGAGGTTTCGGGCGCATACCTGCGCTGCCTTCACTACAGCAGAGTTGCCGAAGGAGAAGGCAGCCCGTCAAAGAAGGTCAGCCCAGCGCTCTGACGCTCGTAACCCTTCTGCAGAATCAAGCGGGGCCAGGGTGAAAAAGTTCAATTTGAACACGTATAAGTTTCACGCAATGGGGGACTACGTGAGAACGATCAGGTTTTTTGGAACTACGGATTCTTTTTCTACCCAAATTGTGAGTATCAGTTGAATATCATCTTTACGAAGCTGAAATCCTTGGGCAGGGAGAACTTGCACACCGAGCCCTGAAGGCGTTCTATCCTCTGACTAGCAAGCTTGATACTCCCGCGCAGTTGGCAAAGCATGAGCGCAGGCGCCGTGTGCTTCGCCGGGTAGCAGAAGCAGGGGGTGCATCGTCTTCGCTCAGTCAATCACTGGCTGAGTCCCCCTCTGGACATGGTCACAATATTGCGGCCAGTCAAAACCATCCGGTTGCGCTATTCAGACTCCTTCGAAATCACGATGGTGATCCAGCTCTCAAGGTAGTGGCAGTATTCCATTTTGAAAGCGCCTTACTTACCGCACTTATCAGAAATTTATACCCAAACTGAAGGACCACATTCTTTACCGGCTGCGCAAGCTAGATGTCACGTACTGCGACCACGTCTTCACAGATGAAGAGAGAAACTCGGTCATCATTCCTAACGACACGATATACGCCGTCCAGACTATGCAGGTGCATTACACTACCTACGACATGAGGCGCGAGTATGATACAATCAGCCTCAGAGCACATGCCGGCCTCATGGTACTTTCAGGGGAGACAAACCCCAACCACCCGTATTGGTACGCGCGCACGCTGGCTATCTACCACATGGATACTTGGGTCAACGATGGGGACAAACCTGTGAAGCATCACCTGGAGGTTATCTGGGTTAGGTGGCTGGCTCCACTGAGGAGTCATAAGTCTGGTATGGAATATGCTTGCCTTCCAAAGGTTGCCTTTGTGGAGGAGTCCGATGCAGATGCGTTTGGGTTTCTTGATCCGGGGCAGGTGATTCGAGGGGCGCATTTAATTCCAGCCTTTAATTTGGGCCGTGGAACTAGCTCGCTTCGGGGTGGAGAATCCTTGGCACGCCCTGAAGGAGAGCTGGATGACTGGGAGGCGTACTATGTTGGGATGTGAGTGCAGCCGCTGGCTCTTGTAGTGGCGCTTCTTACCCTTTAAACCAGATTCGCGGATAGAGATATGTTTATGAGGTACACCTACTTTGGCATAGGGCATCCAGCAACGCTGCGCAGGATGGCTAGGGACTCCCTTGGGAGTGAACCACTGGTCGATGTTGCGGGTGCAGCAGGCAGCGGCAACCTCGAGGTGGATACGGGCAGTGACGAGGCCGGTGACCATGACGGTTATGGGGGATGTAGCGATGACGAAGAGATGACTGAAGATGAGATCAGCAATGATGGACTAGAGTATGAGGATGAGGGAAATGATGGAGATGGGCTTGAGGAGGAAGACCAGTTTGATGACCTCCCTTCCTTTTAAATTCCCAAAAATGACGTGGTGCAGTACTGCGAGAGGGAGAGGGTTCAAGTCGGCAGGGTAACTCAATTGATTATTATCCCCCGAGGGCTTGATCTGTCTTCTAGCTAGTGTTAACATTTTGTATCTATTGAACACTGCTCCGTCTCCTCCGTACTTGTATCTTCGTCCACCAAATTCAATTTCAAGGACGGCACAGCCGTCATACCAAAACGGAAAAGGCACGCCTTATGTGATCATGTGCCTACCTTGATGATGATCCAACTAGTACAACTTGAACGCGATCGTGACTCGGAACTCTTTGAGTTGGACCTCCAAAGATAAGCGATCGATTAACGCTTAGTAGTACTGATGAGATTTGCGCAGGAGTCAAAACTTAGCGGTAGTATGCACGCCTGTCTTCTTCCGTGGTAAGTTCAGCCCTTACCCTCCCTTGATTCACTGTTAATCAAGGAGTAGTACTAGTAGCTGAGGTTTCGCAACACCAACTTGAAGGATGGAGAAGACTCGGACGCACTGTGATGAGACTTCACCTAGGCCCGGTGCTTCAAGTTGCATCCTTCCAGCCTCCTCAGTTTCAAATCTGAGTCTTTTTCGCCTTGGTGAATCAATTTCTTCTGACTGGCTCCTCTCACTCAAATTCGAGGGTGATCCACGCAAAAGCTGGACGATATTAGTACTTCCGGCGGCGTTTTACGCGGCTCACCGCTCACAAAGCTAAACGTTCTGAAGAACGCGCGTCGCATTCAATAATCACACACTAAGCTACGAGAGCGCCGAACCCGGAACCAAGCGCCCCCCCCCCCCTCGGTGCTAGTCCATTTTGAGCAACTCACCAACAGAAGTAGGTGAAGTAAGCGCTTATGGCCCAGTTCACAACTTTGGGAGATACGGGTCCGCGCTCCTGCCTAAACGGTCATACCCGCAGGGACACCGATATAAAGGAGGTGCTGGTTTCTTTTTCCTTCCATCGGCCTCCCTCACCCCACCCCTCACCTGCGCTCCCAAATCATCTTAATACCCTCCTTTCTCCCTTCTTCCATGTCGCAAGACGAGGGCAGCATGTCATCCATCGGCACCAACTGCCAGCGGGGCGACTGCGGCATTCAGCAGCCTCCAGAAACACCCCAAGCTGGGGCAGAGTCAGAGTCAGCGTCTGTGCATGCTCGGCAGAGACGCAGAATCGCTGAGCTGGAGGGAAAGGTCGAGACTCTGGAGTCGGGGCGTTCGGTGAAAGAAAGGTATGCCCCCCGACTGTTTGCACTTAGTCCACTTTACTCACTATTTGTCAGGCAAACTAATTACTATCTAGCTCAGGGAAGGGCCATCAGGCGGGTCGTCACTCTGTTCGACAATATAGAGGATCTGGTCGCTGAAAACGACAGAAGATACGAGTATGATGGCGATGAGGACGCCACTCTAGAATAAGAACCTTCGCCCTTAGCTTTCCACTCCGAGCGCACTCATTAGCGTCTACATAGTCAGGACCGACTGCAAACAGGTTATACTGCTCTAGTGAGAGCCTTAGCCTGGTTTGTGAAGAATGCCACTGACATGGAGAACGACGACTTTGCACGTATGCTAAAAACGGTGCGCTGCGCTGGTATTTGAGTCAACCCGCTGGCTTACCACGCTGAGCCTTCTTCTAGCTTAGGCTGGGGGCTGACAGTGCTCGAGGCGACGATACATCAAAACTTAAAACTCTAGTTTCCTCCTGGGTCAATCTCGAACTCAAGCCAACTCCCCCGGTCGAGCCTGACGACAAACACCACCGCGGGTTTATCAATGACGCATGCGGCAAGTTACTATGCCCTGCTGAACTTGATTGGAGCAGCTCATTGTAGGTGGCGGGCACAGTGTCTTGCGCAATTCTAACTCGTTACTAGAGTGAAGGCAGGCATTAGAAACCGATCGGAGGGCCATGCTGTGACAGAAATGTCCTTTCCAGCATTTTTGTATGAAAACTACACTGCTAACCCTGACAATCTGGAGGAAGGTTTATTCAAGGGAAAAATCCTGGTACAGGTTCGTCAGTCTCAAGCTCCGCGGCAACCACCTCACCCTGTTTGCAGGCCTACAAGGCTGTGTTTACGTCTCCGTCCTCAGCGAAGGACGTCGAGGGCGATGGCGATGGCGCGGACGTTATCGAGAACAACCGGCGGGCTACAAGGGCATCCTCAGGAGCTAAATTAAAAAAACACGTCGCGCAGATTATCAGGATGGATAAGGTTACTCCTCGGTCGATTGCCTACATCGCGTGTCAAGTAAGTCGTGATGTTTATGCTCCCCGCAATCACTTATGTCGGCTGCACTGACAGGTGCGATTCGCGCTTTCTTCCGTTACCTCATGGCGGTCCGTGGACGGCGATTTCGACTATATCCAGTTTTGGAAGATCATCGTGGATTTCTTCGAAGTGGCCCCCGGTCGAGAAGCGCGCCGCAGGGTCAACCGACTCCTGGAGTGGTGGACGAGGTGCAGTACTCTATGTCCTCAATGAACCTCCACTGACAAACTGGCATTTAGAAAGGTTTTTGGAAGGAATCGTCGTGAGGAGCTTAGCGACGCAGCAAAGGCCAATCTGTCTGTGAACGCACTTGCAAGGCAGCGAGCGCAACTAGATGATGCTTCTTTCGATTCTAGCTAGAGATCCGCTTCCATCGTACCGTACCGTCCTATTATCAAGTAGCACTATCCACTAGCCGCATTTGAATTTAAATAACTGAAGACACTTCATCACGCTGCTATTATTTTGCTTTTAAGATGTCTATAAATTGACCTGACGACAACAGTCGCGCACTGGCTGAATGTAGGATATATAGCGCAAGCGTGAGCATTCATGCTAATGGTATAATTGCTCCAAATCGTGAATCGGGATTCCCAACCACAATATTGCAGATGATCTCTCGCTAATTTACATACAATAGAAGACAATTCCGCCTTCGAAAGGGTTGGCGTCGACAGTTGAAGCAAGACGCAAACTTACGGTCGGTCGGTCGGATGAACAGATGCTTGTTGTTTGAATCATCGATACGCTACCGGAGAGGATCAGCCCTTCAAAAAGATTGTCGTCGACAGTGACAGGCGAGCAATCATTAAAGTAGAGTGGAACAACGTCGTTACAATACCTAATATTCCTTTGAAACAACTTTATTGTTAGAGGGAGGAGCTAAGCTACTGAAGATCGTGAATGCATGCACGCAGAATTCTGTTGGACGTATCGCGAATGAATACAACTGTCGAGTTATGACACAGCGTCACATAAGGCCCTTGAGTAGCAAGCAGTTTCTGAATTGCGAGGCATGACCTTTTGCTCTAAAGTTATCTACTAAGCTACCGTGCAACAACAAGCAGGATCAGTGTATATGTTTGACTTCTTCGGGTGCGATCGCAATTAATAAAACGTGCTGCGTTGCTGCAAAATGTACAACATATTCACACAAGTTCCCAATTCTGATATTAGCTCACAATCATCACCCTATGAGTAAGGTAACCTTCATAGCTAATGTAGGGCGCAAATCTAGGCTTGCTGGCTTGGCAGACATGCTCCGGCCTTCTGGAAGACATTAGCAATAGCTTTTAGTTTCAAAAATATCGACCTTACTTCTGAGGTGGCAGCGCTGATTCATTTTGCCTTACCATCAACTTGTGCTCAACCTCTCCTCCAAGTTCGAGTGCGAGTGATATCGCAGTGTTGTCCGCATCATAAACCTCTGTAGGATAGTTTCAAAAATATCGACCTTACTTCTGAGGTGGCAGCGCTGATTCATTTAGCCTTACCATCAACTTGTGCTCAACCTCTCCTCCAAGTTCAAGTGCGAGTGATATCGCAGTGTTGTCCGCATCATAAACCTCTGTAGGACAGTTTCAAAAATATCGACCTTACTTCTGAGGTGGCAGCGCTGATTCATTTTGCCTTACCATCAACTTGTGCTCAACCTCTCCTCCAAGTTCAAGTGCGAGTGATATCGCAGTGTTGTCCGCATCATAAACCTATGTAGGACAATCATACTTTATTCTGCGCTCTACAAGGCCAAAAATGACAATGTAATCCCCCATAGCAGAATTATGTTGATTCTTGTTATTTTCAACTATATATTGTTATATATGCTCTTATCAAATCTTCACCGGTTCACTGATGAACATCACTTACGGGACCCGGAGTCGCAGGGTCTTCAACTCAAACCGACGTTGGCAGAACGTCTTCATCCCAACAAGACCTGGCGGAGAAATGTCTTAACATCGTTGAAGACTACAAGCACAGCCTCATCACAAAATCTGAGGCATTTATCTCTATCGCAAAGACTGTCACTGCCTGCACCTCAGAAGCCACAGACGAAGCGGAGTCTTTTATCGCGAATCCATACTTCAGCATGCTTGAAGACTGGTCCAAGCGGCAGGATGACACCAGAGGGTTTGGTGAGCACGAGCCAGATGTTAGACGCCAATCCGAAGACAGGGAAACTCTCCCTCCTAGAGAGATTGAACTTGAGAGAGAAGTTAGTATCCAGCGAGGTGAACCGGCTCGAAAGCGAGGCAAACTTGACCTCGCCTGTCTCGTTCGAGCCGAGCAATCAAGTACAGGAGGTCAGCTCTCCGCAAACCTTACAAGAACTAACGAAATCCTCCTCAATTGGTCGCAAGACCCCAAAGAAGTTCGACGCCGACTCATGTATCACCGATGCAGCCCGGAATTCCATGAAGCTGGATGGGCAGAAATCGTCGCAGGCAAATGTGTCAATCTTGACGCCGTACACTCCATCATCTCCTCGTCACGCACCATTGACAAATGTACCGAGACTATCGGCAACATTGAGATCAAGTATGCAGGAACATCAGAAGCAGTCGCGAAGAAAATCACCACCGCAATGCAATGGACCGCAGCCTGGAATAGGGCTGCCAGAGCCATCAAATTCGCGTTCCCTCATCGAGAGGATGAGCTCGCTACCTATGGAGAATATATTACCACCAGATTCGACCGTACGCTCGAACGGTCACACGAAAGAATTATCAGGTATGACAAAGCCATCAGGAATAAAGCCGCAAACTCGCGCAGGGTTGAACTCTCAGACCTCGCCTCCTTCATTGACATCTATGAATCTCATTTCCAGTCAGATGGTAGACACCACGACGATGAAAAGCAGACCAAGCCCAGCGCATCTACGCGGGACAAAACTACCTTCAGTCGACGTGAGCCCTGTCGCAAATGGAACGCCGGAGACTGTGCTCGCAGTGCGGGAACCTGCCGTTACGCACATGTCTGCTCACATGAGCAAGACGGCAGACTATGCGCAAGACGACACACGGAAACGAAGCATTTCGAGGAGTCTAAGCCCAAACCCACTTGAACGGCCATTTAAGCGCCCGCGTCATAGACGGGGCCTTATATGGTCACCAACAGATGTTTCTTTCAGTCCAACTGCGCGGTCAACTGAATATGCTGATCCTGTCCCCTCACCTCCACTAAACGAACTTTCGGGCAGTGATGCAGCTCAGACTATTGCACGCAGACCGGACTTGTTTCGTATCGTTACGCCTATAAACGTTGATCGGTTCGAAGACCTTCTCTTGGACCATCCAAACCAACCTTTCGTCAAATCCGTCTGCGACTCTTTACGTCGGGGTTTCTGGCCATGGGCCGATACCTCAGACGACTCGTACCCATCCACTAACGACAATTCCGCGCATACATGCTCCAAATCTAACGAGCAACAACAATTCATCGAGGATCAATTGAGTGAGGAGATACGTTTGGAACGAGTATCAGAGAGTTTCGGTACCGAGCTTTACCCCAGTATGTATAGTGTGCCGATGCACACTGTACCCAAGCCGCATTCTGATAAACTTCGCTTGATCGTTGATCACACTGCGGGCGAGTACTCACTGAACTCCATGATTGACAGAGATGCCATCAAAGGTACCAAGCTGGATGGATTGCACTCGCTCGGAGCTTCGCTGCTTCGCTTCCGTGAACAACACCCAAATGTCCAGCTGGTAATGTTCAAATCTGACGTGTCGCAGGCTTTCCGACGTTTGCCGATGCACCCGCTATGGCAGGTCAAACAAATTCTGACAGTCCACGGTCAACGACACGTCGATCGTAACAACAATTTTGGTGGTAGGGGTTCGCCAAAAGTATGGATTTCGTTCATGTCCCTCGTAGCATGGATTGCTATACATCGTGCCCTCATCGACGCGCTGAAAACTTACATGGACGACTCATTCTCCTTTGAGGTCGCGGGCTGTCTGCTATATTATCCTCCGTACGACGGCTATTTTCCCGCTAAACAGACGCGTTTACTACAATTATGGGACGAACTCCGACTTCCGCATGAACGCCCCAAGCAGGTGTTCGGTGCACCATTGACTGTCATTGGCTTCGACGTCGACCCTAATTCCATGCAAGTATCCCTTCCCGTCGACAAAAAGGGCGAATTGGTTGCAGAATTGCGCCGTTTCGCACGCAAGAACAGTCGTTGGTCGCTTCGGGAGTTCCAACGACTCGCAGGGTGGTGCGAGTGGAGCTTTAATGTTTTCCCACTCTTGAAACCTGGTCTGTCGGTTCTATACGACAAAATCAGGGGAAAGAACAATGCATTGGCACTCATTCACGTCAATAACGCTCTCATCGACGAGCTACTTTGGCTCGCCGACCATATTGAACGTTCTGATGGTTTGCACCTCTTCAAATGCGTGGATTTTGATCCGAGGAGTGATGAAGTCGTTGTCGCCTATACTGATGCTTCCAGCGTTGGCATGGGATTGTGGTTTCCAGACGATAATTTCGCATGCCAATGTCACTTGCCCACCGACACCCCTCACGACACAATTTTCTTCTTTGAGGCACTCGCCGTTTGCTCCGCTATTCATGCTGTTGTCAACATGGACGAAACCCCATCACAACTGCTCATATACACTGACAATATGAACACAGTCGCTATGTTTGATTCACTCCGCGCGAAACCCGTCTACAATTCACTCCTGCGCTCCGCTATGGATATTTTAATCACCTACAGTGTTGACCTGCGCGTGGAACATATCCCTGGTCAGCAGAATGTGATAGCAGATGCGTTGTCCCGCTTTCATAACGAGCTTGTCAAAGATCTCGTGCCTACCGCTCTAATCTTTGACTTCGAACCCCCTCGGGATGCGTTGGGGGCGTCGAAAAAATGATCCCATGCGCAACCCAGTCCAGGCAACCCGTACGGGAAGCCTGGACACTTGAACGCTTGCAATTCGAGCGTTCTTTGGCCCTTGGTTTCGCTATCGAATCGACCACTGCGTCCGCGTACGATTCTCATTTGAATTCCTATCTTAACTTTTGTCGGCTGCACAATCGCCCAGTCCAACCAACAGACGACACTCTCTCTTACTACGTCGTCTGGTTATCCCATTACATTGAACCACGTTCGGTCGATTCCTATCTGTCTGGCATCGTCAATCGTCTCGAATCGCATTTTTCAGGCGTACGAGAAGCACGAACTTCCTTGCTCGTCACGCGCACGCTCAAAGGTTGCAAACGCCGCTTATCCAAGCCTGTCCAGCGAAAACAACCACTTAGCCTCGATGATCTCTCCCTCGTGGCTGACGCTTTCACCTCTTCTGTCGAGTACAACGACATCTTGTTCCAAACGCTACTCGTTACCG